TGTTCCCCATCAACTTCCATGTACTTCCCCAGAGATAACTACTATTGTTCTGGTTACCTAGTGACACTCTGACAAGAATACACCACAAATGGGATGGCCTTAACAAAAGGAGTTTATTCTCTTACAGTTCGGGAAGCTAGAAGTCCAAGTTCAAAGTGCCAGGCTCTCTAGGGGCTGGGTGAAAGCCCCTCGACCTTGGACTTCAGTTCTGCTTCTTGCTCCCAGCCCACTGAAGCTGTGTGTGTTATGTGCCGTCGAGTTGTCTCCGACTCCTAGTGACCCCTCCTTGTGTTACCGAGGCAGTATCACTATGGAAGTAGATTGCCCAACCTTTCTTCTGAGGAGTGGCTGGTGGGTTTGAACCACCAACCTTCTGGTTAGTAGTCAAGTGCCTTAGGCACTGTGCCACCAGAGCTCCCCCACTGAAGCTAGAGGCATCTCTTCTCTCAAGCAGCTACTGGCTGCTGACGCTAACAAGCCCAAGGTCAACAAATAAAATGGCACAGTCCTAATGTTACCAAACCATACAGCAGGCCATTAATTCAAGGTCATTGAAAGTCCCCAGGTTGGCAGAGTATGGCAGGCTGCTGAACAACAACACGGCTACACGTAGGGTTCAAGCATGCCATAAGCTAGAGACTATCCCCAAGGCTTCTCCTTATATACAGGAAGCAGACCACATCCCAAAGGCAGCTACTCAGGTGCTTGTGGTAGATCCCACCATGGAGTTGATTGCCAGTCTCACCATGGGGAATAACAACCACCAACTGCCCAGCCACTCAACCAGGCCCAGCCAAGTTGACATACAAATTTAACTACCACAACAATTTCTACTCGCTTTTCTGTTTTCACATGCACATTCATACACATACACACATACATATATGTATATAGCTTTTTTAAAAAACAAATAGGATCATATGACACAGATTGTTGTGGGACTTGTTTTTCCATTGAATAATATAGGTTGGTTATTTTTCCACATTAGTACATGTAGACTTCACTCTGTATTCAACAGCTGCACAGCATTTCATAGTATGAACTTACCAGAATTTATATAACCATTCCCCTACTTAATGATCATTTAGATGGTTTCTAATTTCTTGCTATTACAAAAAGTGCCTCAGCAAACATTCTTACACACCCATCCCTGTGCACATGTGTTAACTATCAAAGAAATTCCCTAAAATGAAAATGTTGGGTTAAATGATGTTTTGATAAAATTTAGTAACATTTTGATAAAAATTGAATTGTCTTCCAAAAGTGAGTTACTGGTTTATGCTCCAACTAACAGCATATAAGAGTGCCACTTTATTCATAACCTCATTAACACTTGGTTTTCTTAATCTCGTTATGTTTTGTCCAACTGATAGACAACAAAATTAACTGTTTTAATTACAGTTCTTTTAATTATTAGTAATAGTGAGAATCCCTCACATGCTTATTGGCCATTTGTATTTCTTCTGCGATTGACTTATTTGTAGTATTTGCCCATTTTTCTATTAACTTTTAAATGCAATGTTTTATAAGCATATTTTCAATGTTAGGGAAGTTAGTCTGTTGTATGTGTTCCTTTTTTTTTTTCCCAGTTTGTATTTTGTCTTTTTATTTTTTTTTTAAGGTAGTGTTTATTTAACCATACAGAAGTTTTCATTTTACTATAATTGTGTTCATCAGTCTTCTCTCTTTTGGGTCCTAGTTTTGTATTTTGCTTTAGAAAGGTCTTTTTTTTACTCAAAGATTATAAAAACAGTCACTCATGTTTTGTCTTGTTTTTTTCTAGTACAAATTCTGTTTCTTTTTTTTACATTTAAATTCTTTGACCCATCTTGAATTTATTTTGGTATAAGGAGTAAATCCTATCTATACCCAGCACCATTTCTTGAATGATCTTTTTCCCCATGTATTTGAAATGTTATCATATACTAAATTCTCATGTATACTTGAGTCTCTTTTTGAGTACTTTTCTTTACCGTTGATCTTTCTGTTCCAGTTGCTGTGACAATATCACAATAGTTAGATACTACAGCTTTATACTGTGTTCTGTCTGTTGTGTTGTGGAGAGAGTCAGAGAGAGATTATCCCCATTCATTACTTATCTTTTTCAGCATTTTCCTGGGTATTCTCTCCAATCTTCCAGACAGACTTCGGTGTCATTTTTAGATGTGCATACACATTGGGAGCACTCACCCTCTGTGACAGTGTGGAGAGAAGGGTCCACAAGGGGCTGACCTTAAGATTGGCCCATGGGAACCATGACTGAGTGCCCTTCTCTATCACTGTCAAGACTTGGGAGTTTCTGCAGAACCAGAGCAGAGCATCCCTGGGGATTTATGGCAGTCAGAGCTAACCTGTCTTCTCCTCCAATCCTAGGATATGAGGGACAGAATTTGGGAAAGATCCTCAAGGATTTAGAGATGAGTAAGGTGGTACATATGGATCGATGGTCTGTGGAAGTGATACCCCAACAAACTGAAGAAAAGAGTGACCCAGTCCCCTTTCAAATCATCAATAACTACTTCTCCATCGGTGTGGTCAGTGGAATGGAACATGGTGGGGGAGAGCGGGGGCTAAGTAGGCAGATGCTGGAGGAGGGCAGAAAGGGAAAGCAGAGGCTAAGGTAGCTGTGACACAGGGAAAACAGGGTGCGGGTACAGTGTGAGGTGTAAGAAAAGGACTTAGGACATGCTTCTCACAGACTGGGGAGTTAGAGAGTCTGGTGCTGAGAGAAGGCAGGCCTCTGATCCTATATGCCCTGAACTCCCCAGGATGCCTCCATTGCTCACCGATTCCACATCATGCGAGAGAAATATCCTGAGAAGTTCAATAGCAGGTGAGGAAAAGGGGAGAAGGGTATGGGAATACACAGTGGCAGGAACCAAGTGGTGGCCAAGTTTGACTCAGAATGCTTAGATGGGCAGTGAGCTCTCTACCTCCAACCAAAGTTACCCTTGTTCTCCTTGCAATTGGCATTGGGAGGTTGATGCCCTTCCCTGTCACTTAGCCCACCCCTTCTGGTACTGTGTAACCTGTCTCCTCCCTACTGGGCCATGTGGTGGGGCTGACACAGAATGAAGAACAAATTATGGTACTTGGAATTTGCCACATCTGAATCCATCTTCTCAACCTGCAAAAAGCTGGAGGAGTCTTTGACAGTTGAGGTATGTGTGATAGACCTAACCCACATCCTTTTTAGATTCTTATATCTAAGCTTTCCCTGTGTCTGGCACTCTTGTGGACTTCCCATATTATTTTATTTTCTTCCCATATTCTTGAACTTATACTTCTTTGACCTTTTCTCAATTCTCTAACCTTGATTTTCCAAGTCTACAAGATACTCCAGTACATATTTCCCTCTACCCCTTACAAACCTCCAAATCCTGGCCTTTCCAGTTTGTTATCTGGTCTTGGAAAGAGGGGTCATATCCATGATTATGCCTTGAGGTGAGGACCTGTGGCCTCTCCAACTGGGACTGTTTCCCCATCCTCTCAGATCTGTGGGAAACCCCTGGACCTGAGCAACCTATCCCTAGAAGGCATCGCAGTGCTGAACATCCCTAGCATGCACGGTGGCTCCAACCTCTGGGGTGATACCAAGAGGCCCCATGGAGATAGCCAGATCAACCAGGCCCTTGGTGCTACAGCTAAAGTCATCACTGATCCTGATATCCTAAAAACTTGTGTACCAGGTAAGGGGAGAAGCCTTGAGAACTGAGTGGGGCTGAGGGGGAGGCAGGACTGCCTTTGAGGACACCCTGGACACCTGACTTCTATAAAGCCTCTTTTCCTACTTCCCATCCCCAGACTTAAGTGACAAGAGGCTGGAAGTGGTAGGGCTGGAGGGTGCAATTGAGATGGGCCAGATCTATACCAAGCTCAAGAGTGCTGGACGTCGGCTGGCCAAGTGCTCTGAGATCACCTTCCAGTAAGGCAGATTCTGGGCGAGGGGCAGAGGGAGAGGGTAGGGTGAGGGTAGAAGGATTATGGGAATGGTAGGGAAAGCCATACTAGATGTTCCTCAGTAACAAAGGGTCGGTCCCAAAGCCAACCTAAGAAGCAGAGTTTTGGCATTTGGTTGGTAAGGAAATCTCCACCAATCTGCCTTATCCTCCCATAGCACCACAAAAACCCTCCCCATGCAAATTGATGGGGAACCTTGGATGCAGTCACCCTGTACAGTGAGTATTGCCTCTGCCTGCCAAAAACGTAACCCTCAGGCTCCATGGACCCTAACTCTCCTCCATTTAAAAGTTTCTAACTTTCTTGTGACCTGAGTTTCCCTGTGCATCATTCATCCCAAACCCTGACTTCTCAGCCCCCAACCATCCTACCTTGGCCTCTCCACAACACCAGTGACCCACTCCAAACCCCACAGATTTTCCCAAAAATCTCTGCTCTTGCAGCCCCAGCATCCTGCTTCTGAATGTGATCTCTTCCCTTTCAGATCAAGATTACCCACAAGAACCAGATGCCCATGCTCATGGGTCCACCACCCCGCTCTTCTAGCAATTTCTTTGGCTTTTTGTGCTGAGGAGGACAGCCTCAGCCTCTAAGCCAGCCTTGAACCCACCTCCCCATCCTCTGTCTCCATCCCACAGGCTCTGTACATTGCTGCCACACACCCCTGCCAGCTCAGGGGAGTGTTCCTTCACCTTCACAGTATTTATTCTCCTGTACCACCTCCACTAATTACCATACATACATGTATACACATGTGCACGCACACACACACACACACACCACAAACTCATACATTGAAAGTGCCTCATCTGAATAAAATGACTTTTTTTCCACTGGGATATCTGTTGATAAGTGGTATACCTCCTTCCTTCATACCTCTACTCCATTTAAATGACATATATTTTCCTAAGAAGCAAGAAAAAAACAGCATCAAGCTCTGAGTATTTAATTCAGGTAATAGTAGTCTCCCAGAAGAGACTGGAGAAAAAAACAGAAGTTGCTGCCAACCTCAAGGAAATGATGGGATCACATGAAAGTGCTCAAACCTGCTGCCCACTGAGGAGAGGGCTGCTCTCGCCAATGGGGCAAGAGCGGAAGACTCGGGGCAGACGCAGCCAGTGGATGGTGCCATGTGGCAGCTGGGGAAGGGACAGAGCTGAGCCCTGCTTTGCAAGTCTTCGTCTGATATTGGGAGAAAAATAGGCAAACTGGTTAGCAGTGGGCAAGGGCAGCCAGTCTCTGTGCTTCTGCAAAGAAGGGGATACACCCTCATCCTATGTCTACTTGGCCTTGATCTCCACTCCCTCCCCTTCTCACTCTCAGGGTCATCCTCTCTTTCTGTGATAGCCTCTATCTGTCCTCCCTCATCCTATAAGCTTCTATCCTTTGAGGACCTTGGACAACCCAAACCTAGGGATCTGCCTTTCTTATAACTCGAGAACCTTAGTCTACCCAACTTTTCCCACTCTTAATAATAAAAATTGGCATCAATATCATCATTTATTGTACTCTGGCTTCAGAGTCAAGTGCTTTACCCATATTGTCTCTAATCCTCACAACAGCTCTGCACAACAGGTATTCTCCTATTTTTCAGAGGAAGAAAGGCTCAGAGAAGTTACACTACTTGCCCAATGTCCCACAGTCCTATCTAATTTTCAAGCCTGGGCTCCTTCCTGGATATCATGCTTCCTCAAAGTCTGTGGTAGTACTAAGGAATTGAGGAAGAATGAGTGGTGAGAATAAGGGGTCTGATCTGGATGGTGGGGACCTCACCTATATATAAGAGATGTAAGCACCACAGCCATCAACATCAGCAAAATGCCCATAAACAAGGGAAACTGCCCAAGGCCTGCTTCTTGACCTGTGTGCAAAATTGTATGCATGGCTTCAATCAGTATCTGCTCCCTGCAAGCTGGCCCCTGCCCACTCTCCTTCTTCATCCTAGCTCTTGTCCAAGGACCTACCAGGCATGACAAGCTGGGTGCTGACCATTGCCAGGCTGTTGGCATCAGCCAAAGACACATTGAGGCAGTAGATCCCTGAGCCTCCCTTCAGAACCTGATGCAGAACCAGCTGGCAGACTGGGCTGGGTGGCACAGGCTGGCACAGCCTCTGGGCAGGGGGCTGGCACCCTGGTGATGAGATGTCCATACAGGCTTCCTTGGGCAGCCTGGGAGAAGTGTCACATTAGGGGGTCTGGGAAGGGACACTGGGCACCAAAGAGCAGGGCAACCCATGATACTTACCCGCCTTGGCAGGACACAGTCAGCTCAAATGCATCCCCCTCACTGGATGGCACAGCCTGCAGGATCTCGGCACTCTCAATGCCCTCTGCAGAGTTGCAAGATTGAAAGGGTGGGACTCCTCACCAGTCCTCTCCAAAGGCCCGTAGACAGGAAAGTCCTGTCTAAGCTCCCCCAGTCACATCCTAATGCCTTTAAATGAGGATTTTGGCATCTGAGTACTCTTCCTGTCCAGGTGAGTAACTTCTACCAAGGCATGCCACCACAGGCCAGCCCTCAGCAGCACATACCTCCTCCCTTAGCCCACAATGTAGGCAAGACTCACGGACAATGTCCAGGGTGAGAGAAAAGGAGCCATATCGATACAGAACGCAATCCAGGGGGACTTGTCGCTTCACCAGGGTTAAGGTGGCTGTGCCTTCCAGCAGGGGGCTCACAGAGCCTGGTAGGAGTGGAGGAAGGAGGCAAGGTCAAGAGACAGGCAAATTGCCTGGAGGCAGAATTCAAGCAGGCATTTTTCCCAGGTGGAGCCAGAGATGCTGGATGTAGGAGTCACTGACGTGGAAATCTCATTTTATAGATGAGAAAATGGGGCCAGAATGAAAATTACTGCCCCAGAGCCACACAGTGATAGAACTGGAATTTTAAAAATCCCCCAAAATGTTTGTCATACCCCACCCACACTGGGCCAGGTCCTGTGCTAGACACATGTTAACACACTTCAGCATTACTATCTCATCTTCCCTCTTAGTGTTCCTACCACAACTCCAGGCTAGCTGACTTAGGGATGGGAATCCAGGCGTGGGAAAAGAAAGGAACAAGGTGTCAAAATCTGGGAGAGATTTCTGCGTATTTATACTTGAACAGAAGATGAAAGAGAAATGATCACAATCTATTTCTTGGCCTTCCCAATATCCGTTAAGAGTAGAGAAGAAACAAGTTCTCTCCCTATGGCCTAGGGGAACAACCTGGATTTCTGAACTCCAGATCTATTCCATGTCATTTAGAGGGACTTGAGGGTTTCAGAGCCAGTGAGGGCTCCGAGGGAAACCCAGTGCTAAGCAGGACTGGGTAACATCTGGGCTTTGTTATAAGACTTTCATCTCTTTAGAGTAGTGACAAGTACCCCACTTCAATGACTCTCCTTCCCTTACCTGTAACACCTTCTGTAGGCATGAATGGGCTGGCATCTGGACTCTCAGACTCAGGGCTGGCTACCTCTCCAGCTGTGGTCTCCACCAACCCTCTGGTTGTTACATGTGCAGGTGTGGTTTCAGAGGGCTCTGCATTTGACACCTCTGTAGGTGTGGTGCCTGTGATCTCTTCAGTTGGCATCTCTACAAGTGTAGTACCTATGGCCCCTGAAGTTGGCACCTGCCCAGGTGTACCAATGACCTCTGTGGTTAGCATTTGCCCAGCTGTGGTTCCAGAGAGCTCTGTAGTTGGTACCTGACTAGGTATAGTACCAATGACCTCTGTGGTTGGCATTTGCCCAGCTGTGGTACCAAGGACCTCTGTAGTTGGCATGTGCCCATCTGTGGTGCCTGGAACTGGGGAGGAGCCACAGGAGGTGAGAGGAATGGCAGCCTGCAGTACCACCTGGGCAGTGGCTGGGCCAGCTTCCAGGTACGTGTGAGTGACCATAAGTGCCCGAGAGATCAGTGTTCCACTATTGTCTCCAAAGTCCCAGGTGTAGGAGAGGTCAGCCCCAGTCAAATAGCCACTGGGGTCATGGAGTTGGAGGGCAAAGGTCAGAGGTTGATTCCTCAGGAACTGATTGTTGCCTCCATCCAAGGCCTGCAGCTGGGATACACTCACGGAGAAGGGTACCTGATCTGGAATGGGAGCCAGAAAAGGTGAGAACCAGGCCTGGGCATCAGCTTCTTTCACAGCCACACCCTCCAACCCCAAGCAGACTGGCTGGCCCCTTGCTGGCTCCAAGCCCCACTAGCTTCCTCTGCCCAGGTCTTCCTGGTTCTGCCCCTTTAAAGTTGTATGGCATTTTCCTTTTCCAACCCCCAAGATTGGACTTGACTCTTCCTAAGCACTTACCAGTGATGGTGAAGGATGAGTGGGAGTGGGCGAGGGGCACATAGCTCCGGGACCCCCGGCGGTGATAAACAGTCACTTCCATGGTATATGTGCCCAGCACTGCCCTGCCTGTGCCAATGCTCAGCCCAGAAACTGGGCCCCCCAGAACTTGCCAGTATTGGCCTGAGGTTTTTGGAAGAAAAGCAGGGATATGAAAATGTTACTGGTCAGAGGAGAGTGAAGGGCAGAATTAGAGAAGGGACACTGGAGAAGGGAAGTCAGGAAGTGGTGGAGGATAGTTACCTCAGAGGATATTTGGGAGGCTTTGATGTGGGAGACAGGGAAGAGTCTTAATGAGGGGTTCCACTGGGTGGTACTACAACTGGGGAAGGATTCCCAGAAAGAACTATGGAGAGTTGGAGTGATAGGCACTAGAGAAGAGAAAGGAGCCGGGGAGAAACTGAAGATTAGGGGAAATCACAGGGGTTAACGGGTGAGGTAACAACTGAAGGAGGCCAAGTAGGAAGAGGTGACTCCCAGCATGGATAACAGTCCAGAGAAGGGAGTCCCTCACCCCAGGTCTTCCAGACATAAACAAAGCTTCTTCTCTGAGACCAAGGGCCAGATGGGCAGGGTGTACCATCGGGGAAGATGCAGGCATCATCGGGATCCTGGGGATACACTGGCTGTCCTTTCCATACCTGGCTGCCTGAGAGAGAGATAGAGAGTCACCCTCAAACAATGGCGTTCCTTTCTATATACTAAAACTCCTAAAATGGCTCTCGGGGTTCAGAGAGGGGCTATGAGGTATATTCCCTAGCTAGAAAGTACCTTCCCAATGATATAACCCATTTGAGGTGGGAGTGGGAGTGAGTGGAAATTATAATGGAAGATTCATTATTTATATACTTGCATAGGAAAAAAATTTTGAAGACTGCATATCAAAATGCTTAGAGGGGTTTCCTTTAGCTAGCTAAAAATAACACACCAGCTAACATTTGTTGAGTTTTTACTATAGGCAAGGACAAACATTATGCCAAGTACTTTATATATTACCACATTTTAATTGCATTCTACAGGTAAGGAAATAGAGGCACAAAATGATTAACTAGCCCAGGATCACATACTAGTACAAGCTTAAATCTAGATCTGTCCAACTTCTATGTTCAGTGAATTCTGCTATCTCCAGGACTCTGACTTTTTCTTTTTGGTTTATCTGTGCTTCCTAGTTTTACTACAGTGCATATGTATTATACCTATGATCTGTTTAAAAAAAAAAAGAGGAGGACAGAGACATACCCTGAGCTCACTTGGGGATTCCAGGGAGTGTGAGCCCTAGAAATGAGGCTCTGAAATACAGACACACTCACCATTAACAGTGGTATTGTTGGCCCAGATGACCCGCCCATCCAGCAGCACCCTTTGGCTTGCAGGGAAGTCCAGGGCAATAGAAAAGGAGGCATTTGCCCCTACCAGGGTGGGTCCATCATTACCGACCTTCAGGGACACCTGGCCACCTGGATAGGGAAGCTGTGTTAGCTAGGGCTCTCAGTTCCCCCTCCCATATACCATTCCCTTTTCTATCTTCCCAAACTGTATTCAATCCAGTTTTTCTTGCTCCTCTTCCCATCCCATTCCTGCAATGCCCTCCCCTTGAAATGCCAAATTCCTACCTCTCCAGCAGTCAGACCCCTGGCCTTCTGTCCACTCTGGATATAGGTGCTTGTTCCAGGCTTTGGTTCTGAGCCGCCTTGAGACACCAGGCCAGTCCTGGTCTTTGAGTCCTAAAAAGAGTGTACCATGAGGGCCACCAGTTCCTCACTCAGCCCCCTCTCAGAGGATAACAGTCTATCCCATGTTACTGCACACATTCTCACATTCAAACATACTTTAATTTATTGAATGCCTACCATGTAGCAGGCACTGTGTTAGGCAGAAAGTACTAAAGAAAGAAATGACTAAGACTTGAGGCTGCAGCATTAATGAGGGAGGCCCTGAAGGAATTCAAGGTGAGGACAGGAAATAGACACGTAGATAAATAACTATATAATTCAACTCACACACTGCCATGGAGTCAGTTCTGACTCAGTGACCCTATAGGACAGGGTAGAACAGCTCCACATGGTTTGAGGCTGTCAGTCTTCATGGAAGCAGACTGCCACATCTCTCTCCCGCAGAGCAACTGGTAGGTTTAAACCACACCCAAGCACTTAGCCACTGCACCAACAGGGCACCTTAACTATGTGACTCAAACCCACTGCCACTGAGTTATTTCCAACTCACAGAGACCCCCATTGGGTTTCCAAGGCTGTAAATCTTTACAGAAGTAGATTGCCTCATCTTTCTCCCAGGGAGCAGCTGGTGCATTTGAACCACCTACATTTTGGTTAGCAGCAGCCCAATGCCTTAACCACAGTACCAGCAGAGCTCCCTATGTAATTCAAGGCACTGTTTAATATGTGTCATTACAGACATGCATGAAGTAAAATGAAATGACAGACTAAACAGATTCATTTTACTCTGGCTGTTTGGGAAAGGCTTCAATGAGAAGTTAGCATTTGGCCTGTGGGATAAAGTATTCCAGCAGAAGGACCAGCATAACCAAATGCATGGAAGCACATGGCATGTTAAGGGAATAATAATGTGGTTGATGCACACAGTGAGAGATGAGGCTAGAAGACTGGTTAGGGGCATTAAGTGCCAAGCTAAGCAATTTAGCCTTTATCCTACAGGCAAGGTCACCTCAGAAGGCATTTTCTTTGTTTGTTTTTAATTGTTTTAATTAAAATATGATTCATTCATATGCCTTTAAAAACTCCCCCTTCAGAAAGTTTTTAATATTATCAGTTTTGTATTTTTAAAAGATCACTCTTGACAAGTAGTGAGGAGGATATATCAAAGGCAGGGGGATGTTAGGGGTGGAGACAGAGCAGACAGAAAATTATTGTCACTGAACCAAGAGAGAAGTCTGAGAAAAAGGATCTAATGACCTCCACATTCCTTCACCCAGATCCAACAACCAACATTTTGCTACGCTTGATTTATTTATTCTTTTTTGGTTGTTTGTGGGTTTTTCGTTTTTCTTTTTTTGTCAAGTATTTAAAAGCAAATCCCAGACATTTTGATATTTTACCTACGGATTCGATATGTATCTGTAAAATACGAATGTTTTCTTGCATAAGCATGATCCTAAACAAAACCAGTCCATATAAAATTGTCATGAATATTTAAAAAATGCTCTTTTTGTGATCAGGATTCCAAAAGAAAGCACAATGTTTTAAGAGCCTCAGGTGAGTGGGTATGAATAGAATGTTTCAAAAAGATACATTGGGGAACATAATAAAGGAAAAACACTTGAAATCTGCAGCATACATAAGGGAGGACAGATGAAAGAGAACCTAGAAATACGTGAACCCAGGGATCTAGAGAGAAAAATGGGGGCTAAAATATGATATATAAATTTCAGCTGGACAGAAACGATCCCAATCCATTTTCTCCTGTGTACTAGAAATGTAGTTGATTCTTCTGAGAGAGGATCTGAAATTATCACATTGAATATCCCACCACCAGAGTAAGAGAAGTTATGAGATGACCCATTCTTTCTCCATTCCCAACCCTCCCCCGTTAGTGTAGCACGGGACATTCCAGACCCTCTCACCCCCTCCAACCCCACCCCTTGCTCCTATCACGAGGCTTCAATCCCTGAGAGCCCTTTCATGTGATGCTCAGCTGAGACCCCCTCTGCTTGTCTCTCCCAGCCCCATAAGAAAAGGCTTGGGCTGTGTTCACTCACTCCCAACCCAAGGGAGAAAGGTGGTGTCACCCTAGCCTTCTTATCCAATACCACATTCTCTTATTCCCCACTTTAAATCTCTCACCTCAAGTGCCTAAGACTTTACCTAGAAGAGTCTCCCACCCATTTCACTCCTTTGGAGTTCCTGCTCCAGATCATTGCCCAGGGGGTCTCGACTAGGGACATAGAGACCCACTATCCTTTACTCCTCCAAGCAGATGGTGTTGTTTTCAAGCTCAATTCAAAGCTCCTGGTGGGGAAGGAGCTCAGGTGTCCACCTTCTTTCACTAAATCAAATGGGTGGAAGAAGCCTGAAGCATCGCTTGGGGCGCTGGCATATCCCATTAGAAAAAAAAAAAAAAAAAAAAAAATGCAGCTGCAGTCAAGTTGACCACATGTGTTATTGTAAGCAGCCCTGGCTGCTCAGTGGTTAAAGCATTGCGCTGCATACCAAAAGGTCAAACCCACCAGCCACTCTGCAGAAGGATGTGGCAGCCTGCTTCTATAGAGACTTACAGCCTTGGAAACTCTATGAGACAGTTCTGCTCTGTCCTTTAGGGTTGCTATGAGTGGAAATGCACTCAGGAATTTTTTCCCCCCTTGTTACAGAGCCGAAGCGCTCCAAAGGATTTTCTTGCCTGTAATCTTTACAGGAGCAGTTTACCAAACCTTTCTACTGTGGCATGGATTCAAACCACCAATCGTTAGGTTAGTAGCCAACTGCAAACCACACAAAACCAGAGTCAGTGTTCAACCTCAAATTTGCATCTGCCCACGTTGATACTCCCCCATACCCACCTTCTGTGGCCCCCACAACCAGCAGAGCACTCATCACAGCCACATGGAGAAGGCACCTTCCCAGCACTAGATACATCTTGTCCTTCCCTCCAGCAACCAAAGGTGGCAGGGGGCTTAGGCAAGCCCCTATATAAGAAAAGGGTGCTCATTTGCATAGCCCTTCCTCCCCTTAACCTGGGAGGGACCAGAGGCTGCACTAAGATGGTCTTGTCCCTGGACACTCCCTCCCTATCCTGCTACCCAATAACGGCTTCTCCTTTCACTAGGTCTCTCATCTTGACATTCTCCATCCCCCCCCCTCACTCCCAGAGCCAACTGAAAGGCAGCTGGCTACTACACAACACATGCCCAGCACACACAATTCATAGAGGAAAAGTGAATTAATCAGTTGTATGAGTTAAACCAGGAGCCTCTCAAAAGGACAGAAACAGAGACCGTGCATCCAAACACAGAGAAAGTCTCTAGGTAGGCTGAGAGGCAGAGGGCACGACTCCTCCCAGGCCCAGAAATTCCTTAGAACGTCGGTAAGATTTCCAGCTTCCTGATTTTCAAAGCAAGCTTCCTGGGGCAGGTGGAATTTATATCGACTTAGGTCGATATATAAACATTATCTCCAGGGGTAATTAAGGAATCTACAGACTCGGGACACAGGCAGAAAACTCGAGGCCATATCAGGTACTTGGAAAAAAACGACCAGCCACCACACCAAGATAGAAACCTAAAGTCTCTCCAAGCCAAACTTGCGAGGGGCGGGGTCATTTGTGGGAGGGGCTATGGACGCTCCGCTAGTCACGCCCGCTCTGACGTAGACCAATAGGAAGGGCTGAGGGCGGAGTCAGGGAAACGCGGGAAGGAGGGGCGGGGCCTACTGTGGCGGTCGGGAACTGCGGGAGACGGCAACATTGTTTTAAGTTGGACAAATTGACAAGAGCGAGAGATACACTGCGTTCTATCCCGACCTGGGGGCGAGGTGCCCGGCGGTGTCTCTTCCTCCTCAGTCCCCCAGACTCAGGGCCCGATTTCTTCAGGGTTCCCAGGCCCCCGCTCCAGGGCCGGGCTGACACGACTCTCTAGCGCTTCATGGAGAACTTCCAAAAGGTGGAAAAGATCGGAGAGGGCACGTACGGAGTTGTGTACAAAGCCAAAAACAAGGTGACGGGAGAAGTGGTGGCGCTTAAGAAAATCCGCTTGGACACGTGAGTGGCTTCTGTACCCGGTACTCCTAACTGGGGAGCTTACTTGAGTGCCCCCCTCCGAAGGCGGGCAGCCGTCCAGGGACCGGAAGGTAGTAGGAAGGGACTTCTTTGTAAGTGGGAAGGTGGGTTGGAGGACAGACTAGAGGGTTTCCCCGCGAAAAGCATAGTGTGCGTTAGAATCCACGGAAACTTCCTCCCCAAACTGAGTTGGGTGATGTCCCCAACTGTGCAATCAGAGTCAAGAAGAGGAAGGCCTCGGGGATGGGGTCCAGGACTCCGTGGAGTTGGTTTTCTGGGAACCAGTGAAGAGCACCTTTCTGAATGAAGAGCCCTCCTCTTCCTCAACCCCACCCTCATCTTGGAATTCTCTCCCTCTTTCAAAAGAATGGCAGTTGAACCTCACTGGCTCCTCTGGGTGCTACTACCCATCTTTTCTCTGTTACCTTCTTTCTGCTTCATCTTCACTAAGTGGCCTCCCTTAGATACCTCTGGAAAAGAGGAAATGACCTTAATGTGTCCAAAAGCTATTCTCTGCTCTACTCAGGAATTAAATTCCTACAGCACCATTTCTCTTTCCTCACTTTCCTCTGATTTCTTCTGGGGGAAAGGAATGACTGGGCTGGGGGAAAAGGAATATTTGTAACCAAATTCCCCTCTGCTCTCCCAACCCCTCCAAGTGAGACAGAGGGTGTACCCAGTACTGCGATACGAGAGATCTCTCTGCTTAAGGAACTTAACCACCCTAATATTGTCAAGTAAGTATATCTGGGAGGTGGTCTGATAGCAAAGGAGTATGAGTTCTGTCTGTGTCATCTTGGCATTTCTCTCTCACCTCCACTCTGGACCTCCCTTTCCTAGGCTGCTGGATGTCATCCACACAGAAAACAAACTCTACCTGGTTTTTGAGTTTCTGCACCAGGATCTCAAGAAATTCATGGATGCCTCTGCTCTCACTGGCATTCCTCTTCCCCTCATCAAGGTAACCTTTCTCATCATCTCCTTCCCAGGATGATCATATCTTTCTTGGGGGGACCAGAGGTAGTAGGCAATTCAGACTGAGTAATGATTTTTGATCTTGGCGGCCCTCCCAGTACTCATCACCCCCCACCCCACCCCCACCACTACACATAAACTCATGCACATACCTTTTGTGCTCTTTCTCTTTGTTATGCTTGTTAACTCTAGGGCTGGGCAGAAGAATCAAGAAGTTGAAACTCTAATGAGTCAATTTCACTAGAGTAGCACAGGTGGGAAGTCAGATGAAACTTGGGTAAATGAGATTTGAGGGCACTTTGTAGGTTCCTTCAAAAAAGCCTTTCCACCTGCTGCTTGGTGGAAGAAATAGCTAGTAAGTCTGTTTTCTATGTTAAGGCTGGATTCTTAACTCCTTGAGTGACTTTTAATCTATTAACAAATGTTTATTCAATGTATAGAGTTCATGAGTGGCACTAAATGTTAATAGTTTGACTACTAAGCAAAAATTTGGCTATTAGAATCCATCCAAGAGGTCCCTTGGAAGAAAGGCCTGGAAATATACTTGCAGAAGGTCACAGCCATTGCAGTGGCACCATGGAATAGGCCTGGTGATCTGCTTCCATAAAGGTTACAGCCAACCTTTGGAGCACTACCTTATAATAGATGGGGGTCTCTCCAAAGTCACAAACCAAAAATACAACAAAAACAAAATCAATTACAAAAACATGTAATTCTAGTCTAACATAGTAAGAGCTTTGGGGGACACAGAGCATACACTCATTTGCTCGGTATAATGGAGAAACGCAGTCCTGTGTCTCTTTCTCCCTCGTCAGAGCTATCTGTTCCAGCTGCTCCAGGGCCTAGCTTTCTGCCATTCTCATCGGGTTCTGCACCGAGACCTCAAACCACAGAATCTCCTTATCAATGCCGAGGGGGCAATTAAGCTAGCAGATTTTGGACTAGCTAGAGCCTTTGGAGTCCCTGTTCGTACTTACACCCATGAGGTGAGTCCCTCTATGCTTTTCTTCTCTGAGCTCTGCATAAGCGGTAACAAGGGATTTATAAAATTACTAAAAATATATGGCCAGCAATTTTTCTCTCTTGGTAGGTGGAAAGAAGCTCTGATACCCCCAAGAGATCTTAGAGTATGCACAGAATTCCCTTGAGGGGCTAATGGGTTTAGAAAGATGCCAAATGAGGATAGCTATATGGGACAATATTAAAATTTTGACTATTTGTTCCACATTTTCCAGAAAGGTCACACACGGAGGGTTCAGAAAATACAGTCCTTGGAGCCTGAATTAGGCTCAGTCTAGGCTAAGAAATCCTATGTAGTCACCTTACTTAGGGGAACCTGAGGGAGGAGAAGGATGGCAGAAGGCAGCTGCTTATAAAGAAGCTGAGAGTTTGAAGAGCAATGGGTCGTGGGAGTTTCCACGTTCTACAAACCACTCCTTTCCTTCCCCCTCTTGCCCCCGCAGGTTGTGACCCTGTGGTACCGTGCACCTGAAATCCTTCTGGGATGCAAATACTACTCCACAGCTGTGGATATTTGGAGCCTGGGCTGCATCTTTGCAGAGATGGTACGTAGACATGCCCGGGTTCTACCCAGCCCGCTCCTCCCCACATCCAGCAACAGAACTGACTGTTGTTTCAGACTCATGGCCCTTCTGTCCTCCTTGAGGATCTCTCTAGAGTAGAGCCAAGGAGGAGGGGGGTAGATAGGACTGTTGCCCCTTGATAACAACCACCATATTAGGATATCCCCAAGCAGCTTCACCATCCATTATGCATCTCTTACTCCCAAAATAAGCTAAATCATCTCTGTAGCTATTTTAGCTTCAGTCTGCATATATTAAGAGACTTGATGGTGCAGTGGTTAAGTGCTCAGCTGCTAGCTGAAAGGCTGGCAGTTTGAATCCACCATGGGGAAACGATGCAGTAGTCTGCTTCTGTAAAAATTTACAACCTTGGAAACCCTGTTGGGCAGTTCTACTCTGTCCTAGAGAGTCACTGTGAGTCAGAATCAACTTGACAGCAATGGGTTTTGGTTTTCTGCATAAATTTGGGAGAATGAGTTCCATTTTGTACCTTTTCCATTTGGCCTGTAGATTGTGTTGTAGGGTGCAGGAATGTGGTGAAGCTAATTGTAGTCACTTAACCACACCCTTAGCTCATGTGCTCCCTCAATCTCTGGCTTTTCAAATTGAAGAATCACTAAGGTCTGGCTTTATGTAGAGCACCCATTCCCTTTAATACAACTGTGAAGTGGGATGAGTTCTCAAAAATCAGCAATCTGTTTTATGGTCCTTTATCTGGGTTATAACTGGGGGCTTACCAGCCATTAGTCTCTATATATATGTATATATATATAGTACATTTCCCCTAGTGCATTACTTTACAGTTGCCCATATTCCTCTCTCAATTCATCAAAAAATATTTGTTAAGCACCTAGTGTGTACCCAGTACCATGCTAGGTGCTGTGGGGAACACAGAAGAAATGGAAGACACAGTCTCTGCCCGCTGTGCTCCTATCTAGAAGTGGCTGCATCACAAGGAGGGGGGATGACCGCAGTGTCTACCCCACACCCCGTGAGTGGCTTGGGAACCCTTTGCTGCGTGTCAGTAGCACCCCAGACATTCACCCCCTCCCAGCCCCATCCAGCCTTGGGGATATGCAAAACCATAGTTGGGGGAAGGAAGGAGGGGGCGAGAGGACAGATAAAGGGACTTCATTGTCTCAGGCACTGTGTGACTGACCCCATGAAAGGCCTTGGGTGGGGGGAGAGTCATGGGGCCCTGCTGACCTTCCACTGCCTGTGGGAACCTCCTTTGTATAGGGGGCAGTTTTGACTGATGTCAGTGTGGGTCTTGGCCTTTCCTCTCCCCATTCTCAGGTGACTCGCCGGGCCCTATTCCCTGGAGATTCTGAGATTGACCAACTCTTCCGGATCTTTCGAACTCTGGGGACCCCAGAGGAGACAGTTTGGCCAGGAGTTACTTCTATGCCTGATTATAAAGCGAGTTTCCCCAAGTGGGCCCGGCAAGATTTTACCAAAGTTGTACCTCCTCTGGATGAAGATGGACGAAGCTTGTTATCGGTGAGAATCTCCCCGACGACAGGGTTTTTCCATTGTGAAGGAAAGATGAGATCCTGGACTCTGGATTACAGCATTTTCTTAGTCCCTTTCAGTAGTCTGAGAGGGTTTGGATGTGGGAGGAGGGAAATGGGAACTTTGCCTTGGGTAAAACTAATCCTGGTTTTGTGATTTCTCTGAACACCTACTGCCCACCTAGTCCACTGTTATAGCAATTAAAGTCAGTTTATATCTCTCTCTCTCCCTCCAGCAAATGCTGCACTACGACCCCAACAAGCGCATTTCAGCAAAGGCAGCTCTGGCTCACCCATTCTTCCAGGATGTGACCAAGCCAGTACCACACCTTCGACTCTGATGCCCTTCCCCCTGCCCCCACCCTCAGTTCTACCCTCTCCTCCAGTGTGTGCCTGACCTGGCTTGGCTCTGGGCTATTTGGACTCACATGGGCCTTCTGATCTTGTCTGACTGCCTTAACACTTACCTTACCTACTTGGCCAGCCAGCTCTGGGGATACAGGGACTGGGGGGGAGAAGGATGGAAATGAAAAGGATTTTCAGTATTAGAGCACTTAAGGCGGCCTTTACAACCCTCTCCCCCTCCTCTTAGTCATTGCTGAGGAGAGCCAGTTTCTAAAAATAGACCAACCCCCCCCCACACACACACATTGGGTTTGCCATCCCAAGCCATTTCTGATGCCCCTTAATATCGAGGCCACTTGATAGCAGAGGGCAAAACAAAAACCAAGCAAAACAAAAACACAGGGGTCTGTTTTAAGGAATTAGGTTAAAAAAAAATAGTTTCAAGCAGTTTATGCCCTAGTTTTAGTGTTTCACCTTACCTAACAGGTAGGAGACTCAAGACTCCACTCTGGTGGGGCTGCAGTGGAAATGATTGTTCCCAGGCCCCTTGTCTGCCCCTCCTATGGTCAAGGGGAGTCTAGGGCTCTGGGACAGTGTTTATGCCGCATCCAGGCCCATTGTTTCACTGCAGTCTTAGGAAGCTGGTGAGAGATGTTTGAAGGTTTCACTTTGTTTTAGGATTCTTAGTTCTTTGGTTGCTAGGGATCCCTGCTCCGGTTTTCCTCTGAAAGCCACTCCTCCGCCCTCCAGGAATGGAAGTTAGGGTATAGGCGTCATTTTGAGAATGCTGACACTTTTTCAGGGCTGTGACTGAGCAGGGGCACTGGGAAAAATGTTTCTTTTAAAAAAGGATGAACAATTATATTTATATTTTAGGTTATAGTAGTTTTTAAAGCCAGTGGGGGTGGGGTGGGGAGATTTGTTGCCATGTGTTGAGGTTTTGTAATGCGAATGTTTAAAAGTTTGTTTTTCTTTTTATAATTTTGTCTCTTCCCCACCCCTTATCCTTGAGTGTTTTTGCTATTAACATTATTTGTAATTTAGTTTGTGATTCATTAAAAAAAAAAATTCCTAGTTTTTATAGCTCATCTCTTTCCTCCTCTACTTTTATTTATTTTACTGAAAGAAGAGTGTGCATGAGAGAGGATATGAATGTGTATGTGTAGATAACTGGTTTCAGATCCCTCATTTCCTAAATTCTCTTTGTGTGGTGCTACCCACTCCACTCCATTTTGGCTGCTATGATGCTGTTGAGATAGTAGTGAGAGTGGGCAAAGTATAATTGTTCATTTTACAAATGGGGAAACTGAAGTTCAGAGAGGTTAGGTGACTTTACAGATCTCACAGCTAAGTGGCACAACCCAGGTGGTGGGAAGAACTTAGGTCTTTCTAACTTAAAAGACTTTGTATTTCCCACTTCACTGTCATCACAAACCAGCATCATCACCCCAACCAGCACGCCACACACACTGGCAGTTTCAGAATTTCTAAGGGCTTAGAAATAGCCAAATAGTTTGAAGTGGGCTTCATCGGAATTCGCCTTGACACTGCATTTCCCAGAAAATCCGCCGTTTTTCCTTTTTCTTGCATATCACAAACAGCAAAATTTTCAAAAGATGCTTTTACTCGCATTTATATATGACTCAGAAAACAATTTTATGTATGAAAAATTATGAAGGGGCTAAAGCTTCTTCAAGCTACCATTTCTCATGGTTGCCATATTCTCACCCCACCAAAAAACGTCTCAGACCGCCCGCGGGCCACTCATAAAACTTCTGTCTTCTTAGGCCCCATGAGAAGGAGGAAGCACTGACATGAAGGTTACTTAAATTCCCAGGCACCAGATCCCTAGAAGTGGTATTTCCCTTTATGCCCGCGAATTTGTCATAAAGGGCGGAGCGCTAGAACCAGCCACCGCCAAATCAGTGTGGAAGGGCGAAGGTCAGCAGCGGCCTTCCCAGGGTTTCTCTCAACCCCGCCTTGCTTGCCAATCAAGTCTGAAATTGTCGCAGTACTGGTTAAAGTATCACTTTGACCCGCCTCCATCACTCACCTGATTAGATGTTTATGAGTCAAAGGCGGGTTTAATGGGGTGTCGAGGGTTTATTGGTTGGAACATCCGCCTGTCAACAGTGTACCGCCTCCCGTCTCAGGGAGCTCGCTCTTTAATGGCTTCTCAACTTGTCCGTCTTCAAGGCTTCTCGCCTTCTATTGGTTTGTGCCCCCGCCTGTTCAGTCCCTTGTAAGTACTCGTTGGTGACAGCACCGAAAGAGCCCTACCTTTCTCCAGAGGATTGGCGGGTGAGTGCACATATCGCCCCACCCTCGACTGTAGGCGGGTAATCGTGCTATTGGTTGGGGCCCCCGCCCGAGGGCGAGGAGGAGGAGGAGGAGGAGGGGTAGGAGGGTTTGGTTGAGCTGCAGCTGTTTGTCTGTTCGACACAGGCTTGGGCCCGACGGGGGAGACGGAGCCCCAGGTACAAGACTGGTGGAGCCCAGAAGGGCAGGGGCGGAGGCGCCGGGAGATAAGGGCAGCCTGGCCTGAGAGTGGGGGCGGGTCTGGAACTAAGCGAGGGGGTAGAGTGGCCCACTGGAGAGGGGAGAAGGGGGTCGGGCCCCGGCAGGCCTTATGGGGGCGCTGAGGAGGGGGCCGGGCGTGCTGGCAGCCCGAAGTTGGTGACGGAGAGAAGCGGCTGGGTGCTGGCGGCGGCCAAAGCGGGGGCCGGGCGCGGAGGCCCAGGGCTGGTGTGAGGGCAGAGTCAGGCCTCATTAAACAGCGCTGGAGAGGGAGGAGCTGAGGGGAAGGGACGGGGCAGCGGTGAGGTAAGCCCATTTGCCGGGAGGTGAGGAGCGGTCAGCCTGACGCCCGGGTCCCGAGGGTAACCCGGGCAGGGTCTCTCGAGAAATGTCTAATTGGAAGGGCCTGTGAAGGGCTCTTAGGTAAGAGGCATTATTTTCAGGAAAAGTGGCAATTGTGAAAAAGAATTGAAGGGACCTCGGAGTTAAGCTGAGAGGGATTTGGATTCAGGGAAGGAGAACTGAGGCAAACCAAGAAAGCTTTACTAATCTGGAAGAGTAAAGAAGTTGAGGAAAGGAACGCAGGGCCCGATACCAGTTAAATGAGCTGCTGGGAATACTGAAACTGTACTGGAGGCTCTGGCTTTTGAGAGTAACCACTCTTTTGTTCCCATTGGTGTTGGGAAGTAATATTTTGAAGTCTTTCCGCTACAACCAGGGTAGGGAAGGAAGACAAACGTACTTTTATTTTTGTGATTGTTGCCTGCTCCAAACTCAGCCCTTACCCGTTCCTTTGGCCTCATAGCCGGTTTAGGCTGCAGCCTTTTCTATTTCTTCTTACCTAGTGTTTCATGTCTTGTGAAAGCTAAGTAAGTTGCCTTGGGGGATATTGTGTCCATTTCTTTACCTTAATAATATGGCCTATGATGGATACTCTATCTCTGCCCTAAAGTAGGGAATCTGAGGGATTTCTTTATCTGCACTGGAAAGGGGTTTAGGCGTCCCTAGCCATCAAGAGCTGTTCTGACCATAGTTGGCGAAACTTTTGTTGAACTTAGACTCGGGTATTTCCCAGGCAGGTAATGGAGTTAGATGGAACGAAGCTTGAAAATATGAGCTGATACCATGGAGCACAGCATTGGGAAAGACAGAAATTCCATTCCAGAAGGTTGGCATCACCCCTTGTTCTTTGTCTACTTCTTCAGGAGGCTTGGATCTGTGCTACTAGAAAGCTGGGTCAGACAGTGAGGTATTTAGGAAAAGGGGGTAAGTAAAGAAAAGGAAGATGGACTACTAAAGCAGAGGAATCCCCTCCTCCCTATATATTTTTAGTGGTCTGCTGATCTCCTTGGTCCCCCATAGATTGGATCCTGTTGGATTTTTCCCTATTGTACTTCCTCCTTTTCCCCTTCTGTACTAGTGTATTTTATCATTACATTTCATTTTAATTACAAAATATATATTTTAAAATATTCAAGCTATACAGCAGTATAAAAAGTGTAAGCCCTCTCACACATAACCCATTCTGTTTTTCATTCAGGAAGGTCAGCGATAAGAGCAGATCAGACTAATCTTGCTTTGCTTTGGGGGATGTTCTACCAAAGGCGATTCTGTTTTCATGTTCCCACCAAACTCTTGTTTCTCATTCTTTCCATTTTTCCCTTCTGGGATGATACTGTTACTGTGCTCCTTTCACAGTTTGTTTTCTTTGTCTTCTTCTATCAAACAAAAACAGGCAAAGATCTGTACTCTGGGTTATCACTCATCTTCTTAAATACACACATAACACCAGTTGTGCTCCTAGTATCCTAGGAAATGCCCAAATAGATGGGGCCAAATTTTTTTCTCTTTATGGGCAGGAAAGAAATATTAAGATGAATCATTTAACTTGGGACAATTACTGGTATCACTGTTAACATGAGGAATTTATGACCTCTTCTGGTTTGTGAAGGAGCTCTGGTAGTGTAGTGGGTAAGGCTAACCAGAAGGTCGGCTGTTCAAACTCACCAACTGCTCTGCAGAAGGAAGATGAGGTGAACTTATTTCCAGAAAGATTTACAGGCTTGGAAACCCAGTGAGGGTCGCTGAGTCAGAAGTGACTCAGTGGCAGTGGGTTTGGTTTTTTTGGTTCTCTGGTTCATGGTCTGTATGGTCAGATTATATGATTGTTCCTTCCTTATCCCATAAGATGATCGTTTTCCTGGGGTACCCCTGTATATGTCATTCTGTAGTGATTTCAGAAGCTCCTAAGTTTCCCTGGATTTGAAATTGGCTTTTCTCTAAACCTCAGAGTATAGCTAGAGCATTTAGTAAACCAGTTGTGATTGAGTTATGGCAACCCCACGTATGTCAGAGTAGAAACAACTGTGCTCCATAGGGTTTTCAATGGCTTATTTCTTGACAGTAGATTGTCAGGCCTTTCTTCTGAGGCACTTCTGAGTGGGCTCAAACCTCTGACTTTTCGGTTAGCAGCCCACATGGTTAACCATTTGCATCACCCAGGTACTTCACTCTACCACTGTATTCATCCTTACTGGTTTTAGATGCCCTATTATGTACGCATCCTTTGTACAGTGCCCATCAGGAATCTCAATTCTTGTCCTTCAGGAGCTTTTATTTTCTCATCTGCACAAAGCTAGTCATAGAGAAAATTGTGTTAATGTAGGTTTGTTTTTTTTTTTTAATCCTCTGTAGTGTTTGCCATTTTCCACACCTGGGTATTTGTCCCTTTCTTCTTTAGGTCCTTTTGTTTTTTTTTTCTGCCTTCCCTTTAACAAAACCTACTTTTAAGAAAAGATCTGGAATTGCCTCATAGTAAAGTGTAAATG